TTTTATTGTACTTCAGGTGAAGGCTTACAGAACAGATAGTTTCTCATGTAACAGTAACACACATGCTGTTTTATGACATTGGTTAACAACCCCACGACATTTTAACCCTCTAAATTCTCAACTTCATTCCTTTTTATGGCTGAATAACATTCCATTGTAGATATAATACATTTTATTTGGCCATTTATCAGTTAATGGACGTTTGGCTTTTTCCATTGTTTCACTATGATGAATAATGCTGCTGTGAATATTTGTGTACAAGTTTTTGCGTGGACATGTTTTCATTTCTCTTGAGTATATACCTAGGAGTACATCTGCTTGATCATTTGGTTACTATGTGTAACTTTTTGAGGAACTGCTATACTGTCTTGCAAAGCTGCTGCACCATTTTACATTCCCACCAACAGTGTATCGGGGTTCTAATTTCTCCACACCTTCCCTGTAAAAATGGCATGGTGTCAGACTTCCTCTAACTTTGGGGAGCAGGGTGGCAGCGGGGAGGATCACCATCAACATCAGCCCAAAGCTGATTTCCATGAGATGGAGGTCAGACGTACCTCCACTTTCCAACCTTTTTACCAATTCTGACACCAGCTGTCCCTCCCACGGCACTGTCTACTTCTCTGCTGGGTTCATTAATTCATTGCAGTGGCCTCACAGAACTCATAGACAATACTCATGATTATGAAGTTTATTAGGGAAGTAACAGGTTACAGTTCAGGATCAGAGTCAACTTGGTGGCAACAGGAACAACTCAGGATACAGTTCTTTAATCAGGTCAGCTTTTTCTCAGCTGCTGCCGCTGAGCCTAGGCTCTGGGCTCTGGGCCCTCAGCTCAGCCCCTGCTCTGCTCAGGCAGGTGTTACAGCCCTTTAACTCTGCTGATAAAGTGCCCAGAGGCACCCTACCCTGCCAGCAAGCCTCCTGCCCAAAGGCGCTCTGTGGGTCAGCAAACAGCCTGCCAGTCCCGTGCCACCGCCATCTTGTGCCTTCTTCAGTGTTACAGCTCTGTCTCCTGGGTCTAGGAGGTTTTCAGCACAGGGACCCTGGGTCCAAGGGATGCACTCTGCCCCCAACTCTTTTTCTTGATGGTAGTGAGGTTCCCTTCTCTCTATCTGGGATTGGCTCTTTTTAAACCTAGTGGAATGGCAAAACTGAACAATCCCCTACAAAGAGTCTTATACTTTTATTTGCATAGTCCTGCCCAGTCATTTTGTGGGAGTCACAGGACTGTGGCTAGAAGGGCCATATTAAAGCAGTCCACTACAGTGCACTCATCTATGCTTGTTATTGTTTGGTTTTTTGATTCTAGGCATTCAGGTGGGTGTGAAATGGTATCTCCATTGTTGTTTTCATTTGAATTTCCCTGATGACTAATGATGTTGTGCATCTTGTAATGTGTTTATTGAACATTTATATATTTTCTTTGGAGAAATGTCTAATCAAATCTTTTTGCACATTTCAAAAATTGGGTTATTTGTCTTTTTGTTGTAGAGTTTCAAGAGTTCTTTATTCTGGATAGAAGTCCCTCATAAGATACATGATTTGCAAATATTCCATTCCGTGGCTTGTCTTCTCACTTTTTTGATAGTGCTTTTAAAGTACAAGAGTTTTTAATTTTGATGAAGTTCAGTTTATTTTTCTTTGGTTGCTTGCTCTTTTGGTGTCACATCTGAGTAACTATTGCCTAGTCCAAGGTCATGAAGATTTACTTGTAGTTTTTTCTTCCTTCTAAGAGGTATAGTTTTAGCTTTTAACATTTAGCTCTGATCATTTGAGTTAATTTTTGCATATAGTGGGAGATATGGATGTAACTTCATTCTTTTGAAAGTTAAATATATGCTTACTGTATGTCCTGGCTATCCCACTCTTAGATATTTACCCAAATTTACACAAAATCCTGTACTCGCCTGTTTATATCAGCTTTGTAGGCAAGAATCATCCGTAATGGGTGCTAAAATTAGTGAAAGTATGATGAGAAAGAGGATATTGGCATAGCATCAAAGTATCTCCCCTTACAGTACTTATTAATTACAAAGGGAAAAACTGTAACTTTACGGTGGGGAGACCTGACAGACACCACCTCAACCAGTTATGAGACATAGTGACATCCTGTAGCCGTGATGCTGCGCACCGGGAGGGCACAACGTAACTTCTGTGTATTCTGCCTAAAATGACTGACTTCCATCTCATCATGAAGAAGTACCACACAAACCAAATTGAGGGACATTCTACAAAATGACTGACCAGTGTTCTTCAAAACTGATGTGGTCATGAGGGACAAAGACAGAGGCGTTCGTAGAGATTGGAGAGCAAGGAGACGTGATGACTAAATGCAGTGTGGGGTCCTGCATGCATCCTGGACCAGGAAAAAGGCACTGATGGGAAAACTGGCAAAATTACAGTGTGGTCTGTAGATTAATTAGTAGTATTGTATTAATGTTAATTAGTTTCAATAATTATGCTATGACTGTGTCAGGTGTTTACATTAGGGGAAGGGTATGCAGGAACTCTCTCTACTAATTTTGCAAATTCTCTTTCAGTATAAGGTTTTTGGAGCCCTGGTGGCGCAGTGGCTAAGAGCTCGGCTGCTAACCAAAAGGTTGGCAGTTCGAATCTACCAGCCGCTCCTTGGAAACCCTATGGGGCAGTTCTACTGTGTCCTGTAGGGTCGCTTTGAGTCAGAAATGACCCAGCGGCAACGGGTTTAGTTTTGGTTTTATAAAATTATTTTATAATAAAGTCTAAGAAGAGAATAGACACTCCGGTGTCTAGACTATTGCATCCCATACCTTCAGTAGTTACACTGTTGAGGGAGTACCACGTACTGGGTACAGTGCCTGCGTCAGTGGGAAACGGAGGAGAACACAGGCCTCCCTGCTCTCAAGGAGCTACCAGCCATTGCAGAGGATGGCAGAGTCATGGAAACAGCCGTCATCCAGTTAAATAATTTCTGTAATGTCTGCAGATGAAAGGTCAGGGAGAAAGAACCCCTGATATCCATGGCGATTTAAAAATTTTACTCAGAGATGTTTTGGATTTAAATAACTTCATGCCCAGGTTGCAGTCTTTGTAGTAGATTGTCATTTTTGCATTTAGTCACTGGCAACAGAAAGCTTTTCCGTGTGTGGCAGAAAGCAAATTTCCTAAGTATCACCTGTTAGAGCCTCATTTGCTTCTGGTAATACGTATTAAAACAGGGAAGAAAGAAAGGAGGAAAAGGAGAAGGAACAGGAAAAAAGCTGGCTCGGCACCCGAGGGGCCTACTTTATTTATAGTCAGTGAAGCCAGCGTGCTGACAGCGTCCGTGAAACTTAATGGCCGTGGAATGAAGGGGGTGGTGCGGTACCAGTCACGGCCTTGATAGAGCGTTCCAGAGAGGCAGAAGGAGACTCTTGATACAAAGGCACGTTTCGTGTGGGTGACGGCTGTTGTGAACCTGAGACCCAGGGTAACTGCTTCAGAGCTTTCAAGGAGCATTTTTTTTGGCATGCCAACGCGCCTAAGTGTTACGATTTTGACATTACAGGAAGTTTTTTTGTGTGTTTGAAAGTAGCTGTTGATAAGGAAGTTGTTGTCAGGTACCATGGAGTCAGTTTCCGACTCATAGTGACCCCAAGTGACAGAGTGGAACTGCCCCGTGGAGTTCTCTTGGCTGGAATCTTTACGGGAGCAGAACACCAGGCCCTTCTACTGCAGAATGGCTAGGGGGTTCCAACCACCACTAACCTTTCAGTGATCAGCCAAGCACTTAACTTGCACCTCGAGGACTCCTTGATGTAAAGCCTGGCTCTCTGAGCTTGTCTTTAATAGCACAATTAAAGAAGCAAATGACTTTCATTTTGGCCATGTCTTGATTGTGATCTCTTGGTTGCACAAATAGTGATGGGGCAGAGGGGCCTCATGGCTCTGAGAGGAAATAGAGGCCGCAGTCCAGGCCTTTGTCCTTTGTTTATGAGGGATGTAAGACATCTTTCCATCTCTAACTACCCCTCCCTTCTCTCTTATGACCTATTAATCACCCATTCCTGCCATCTTAGTTATTTGGCTTTCAAGTCTGTTGAAAGTGAACTGTTAAACACCACCTCAGTCCTATATAAAACTGGGTTTCCCTTCTCATTGCTTGTTTGTTGTTATCCATAGGAGAGGAAGTGGTGTATACTGAGCTCAGGGAAGATGAGCAGGAATTTGAACTGTTTGCCCAAAATGGAGGGAACCGATTTTTGGAATAAACACTGTCGACTGCTTTTCTTCCCCTGGAGAGCAGGGAGGCCTAGATCATGTTGTCCTTCATTTACTGGACTTCAAAGACAGAACGCGGTTGGTGTGGTCTCTAACCACACAGTCCTGTGGTCCCAGGCCCTCCTGCTACTCTGAGCCCAGCGTTGGAGTGTTCCTGTCTTATTTCCTTTATGATAATGAACTCTTGGATGTGTTCATTTAGACCCAGAGCAGATAACCCTGAAGCCTGGAATTCTGATCACTAGTTGGTGCTATAGCTCGTAAAAACGTACAGTAACTACTGTCTTGTTGGCACAGAGTTTCAGAAACTTTGGAGGAGCGTCACTGTGGATTCAATGGATGATGAGAAAATTGAAGAGTATCTGAAGCGACAGGGTATTTCTTCCATGCAGGAATCCGGACCAAAGAAAGTGGTGGGTAATCCCTGTGGCGGTGGGTGCGTGGGGCGGTGGGAGAAGTTTACTGCTTCCTGTGCTCCCTGAGAGCCAGTAGTCTGTTCCCCTCTCCCGGTTTTCCTCAGCGTCCCGCTCTCGTGAGGCAGACCAGATTGTGTCTGATCTGTCGGGGCGGTGGGTCCCTTGTGCCTGCAGGTGCTCCTCCCCAGGCAGGCGAGGGCATCCCTGTCACCTCTCCAGCCCTGTCCCAGCGGCTGTAGCCATACTGGGCGTTTGGTAGTTCCCACACGTTGCCCGCTCTTTCATCTCTAATCTCCGGTGCGTACTTCTTCCAGTTTCTGAAGGAACCTGCTTGGTCTTTATGGCCTTCCTCTTGCTCCTCTCCCCCTTCCTCAGTGAGGTTCACTAGCTGTGTGTTTTCTGTACTCAGATCCTGGCTCTGCCATAGCCCTCATCACACTGAATCATCTTTGGTGATTTTCAGGTCCCCTAGGAACCAAATATTACTTACTGTCTTTATAGCCCCTAACCTCTGCACATTAAAAAAGCAAACGCATTGCCGTCGAGTCGGTTCTGACCCATAGCGACCCTGGAGGAAAGAGTAGAACTGCGCCATAGGGCTTCCAAGGGGCGGCTGGTGGCTTCGAACTGCTGACCTTTTGGTTAGCAGCTGAGCTCTTAACCACCGTGCCACCAGGGCTCCCCTCTGCACATAGTAGGGATCCATAATCCCGTGAAGACTTGTGAGCTGCCTTGTACCAGCTGATCAACTGTCGAAGAGCAAAGCCGGGATGAGGAGTACTTCTTGTCCCCTTTTCACCATCATACTTTGTAATGTGCCTTCTCAGTGGCTTCTGGCTTTTCTGTGTGCATGTGTGTGTTTGTGTTTTACTCAGTGAATTTTTGGGACCCATAGAAAGAGCAGATTTCGTGCCAATGATCTCTCTCCATCAATTAGTGTAATTGCAGCAGTCATGATACCCTGTTGTTGCTTAGTTTATTTGTTATTTTTTTCATGTGATATTAATATTTCAAGTATACAGAAAAGAATAGAGAATAATATAACAAACCTTTGTGTGCCCATCCACTCTATGGTTTTGCCATATCTCAATATTTTGCCCTGTTTACTTTGGATCTTTTTTTAATTAGTAATGGTTGATCTATTTTTTAAAACTCATAACAAAAGGAGGCAACAAAGAGCCTCACTGCCTCTCTTTTCTTTTCAGTTTAGTGCCTAGAACAACTCTTGTAAGAGTTGGTGCCTGGCGGAGTTGTGCATTTCACTCTTAACACAGAGCACTGCGTCAGGGGAGTGTGCTGGTGGGTGTGATGCCGGGCTGCAAGCAAAAAACAAACAAGGCCGAAAGCCCTGTATCTCTTTGCTGCTGGTTTCTGGGCATTTTTAGTAAATCGAAACCATACTGCTTCTCACTCTGAGTGAGTAACTGCTATTGCTAACACTTTTTACCTGTCTTTTTAGGCCCCTGTTCAGAGAAGGAAAAAGCCTGCGTCACAGAAAAAGCGTCGATTTAAGACTCATAATGAACACTTGGCTGGCGTGCTGAAGGATTACTCTGACATCACTCCTGGCAAATAGTGAACTGTGCGTCCTTGAGCAAAGGGTTCCAACTCCAGGATCAAGGTCTTTCTCGTTGAAGCTTGGAATCTGAAGACTGACTCTCTTCCCATTCTACTTCTTAGGACTGAGAAGAGCAGTTCAGTCTCAGCACAAGTGCAGACTACCAGACTCAGAGCTTATTTCATTGGATAGGCTGATGAGAAATGGGACTTGGTGTGACATTCACTGTTACCCTTCTGTTACTTCTTGGGGGGAAGGCACTTAGCATGGCATGCAAGTGTCTTTGATATTTAGCTTTGCTTCGGAATGGTTCCTGGTTCCATTTTCCTCTTTTATTACTTTAGAGCAAGTTTGCAGATAGGCTTGAATGCAATATTTGTTTATTCCAAAAGAACATATTTATAATAAAATCATTGTAGAAGGATTTTAAAGATGTTAGTGAGTTTGGTTTGTTTCTTTTCATTCTTGAGAAATGGCAGAAAGCAGCTTCAGTCGTAACTTCCCCTTGGGCACACATTTGGGATGCTGTCGAAGACTGTACTCTGCACTGTGTTGCTCTTGATCATAAGAATTTCATAACTGGAACACAAGTTAAGCCTCTTGTTACCCAGTTAAAGCAATAAAGGTACACTAAATGTAGTAATTTGAATGTTTTCTTTTAAAAGGATAAGTCAGTATTATTTAGCCTCGTGGATTTAGGAGGTTATGGTCTGATATCAACCCAAACGTCGGTGGAGAGGGTCTTCCCGCCACCTCAGCATCAGCTTCACCATGTCCCAGCCCTCCAGTGGCTTGACCTCAGGGCTGTTCTGGTGGAGGCTCCCCCCATCTCCCTGGCAATGGCCGAGCCCATGAGTGCCATTACCAAATATGTGTGGTCCTGGTCCTTAAGCGTCGTGGTGGCTTATGGGAAATCTGTGTGGTGATTCCAGCCTTCTGTGGCAAACAACCTATTTTCCTTACCTGTGCTTTTTGTATGGTCTTCGGTGGTCCTTTGAGTGGATTGTTTACAATTTTCATCACAAATAGAAATTGTGGATTACAATATGAAGGTTCAGTGTTCTCAAAAAGGGTGTAATGGTAACGGAGCCATCAGTACATTGTAGAGGTGACAGGGAGTGTCTGCTTTTTTAGCTCTTTGTATCCTTTATCGACTTCTCTTCTATTTACAGTGTCATCTTACTGCTTACCTCATAGCCCCAAAACATGGCGTGAGAAGATAAAAAACTGAGGGTGCCACATGATAATTTAGAACACGGAAGCTCAGCCTGTCTTGCTTTGTATCAGAAGTTTTCTGGGAGTGCGAGGCAGCTTAATGTCTTGTGGTGTAAAACTATTTTCC